AATGCAGAACTTTCTAAACACGATGGCGCCCCATTAAAAGGTAAACTGCTATATTAATTTAATAAAATATGACACAATCACAAAATACCCAAACCTGGGAAACAAAAATTGTAATCAGTACAAACAAGAAAGGCCCAAAATCATAATTGCAACAATTACACGAGAATTACACTATCGTCCACTGCAAGTTATACGCAGATATATAAAAACTATTCTTAACAGACGAAGTTAATTTATTCCAGACTAAGAACAGTTCGGTTTCCAAAGAGAAGGGACCACTACGGATGTTATATTTACATTACAGCAGATTTTGTAAAAAGTAGAGAATTTAATGGAAAACCAATGACAGTCTAAACCGAGAAATACGATGATAGATTTTAAGCGACCAAGACATACCAGAACAAATCTTAAAGGCAATACAGCGATTACATCAAAACTCTTAAGATAAGCATAAGATATAATGACAGACAAATCAGTACTATCGACAGATTTAACACGTATGTTAATAAAATCATAAGAGAACAGAAGTAATCCTCTTAAAATGGCACCTAATTGGCTCTCGGGGGAAACAATTCAACGTTACGCGCTGATGATAAAGTCATAACAGGAAAATCTAAAGTTTAACTACAAAAGTCAGCCAATGAATTAAACGGAACTGCTAAGAAATATATGAAAATATACCCTTTCAAAACAAAACGTACAAAGGGCTAAGACAGGAATTTAGGGCAAAATTATAGAATACGTTCCTAATTTTAACTGTCGGCTAAATCAAAAATGAAACGAGGATGAAGGCATAGATTTCATTTATTTTATTTAGTGTTCTGTCTGACGACAGGTCCATATGAACAGGATCCTTCCATCCTTTTCTCGGACTGGGACCTGTTCATATACGTTCTTGGCAGATGATCCAGAAGTGGTTTGACATTGCCTTCTTCTGTGTGTGAATGAAGTAATTGTTGGGATGCCACGGAGAAAAACTCCGTGTTGCCTAGACCACCACAAGTTATAAATTCGAACCCGAGACCCCAGGATTACAA